GATTCTCCAATTTGGCCTTGGCCTTCGCCGAAAACCATTCCACATCCTCCACCATCACTTCTTCAGGTACGTCCAGCTCCTCGGCCTCGCGGTGCACGGTACCACCACCCAGCGCCGTAGATCTCACTAGAGTCCTCCCCACGGCCTCCATGTTATGCTCATCAGGATGTGCACCGCGTGAGACAGGCCCATGGGCAGCCGCGTGTAGCATGGGCATACCAGGTCCCATTCCTGAAGCTCCGCTCTCAGCGCAGGGCCCAGTAGCCCCCATACCAGGATGGCGGGGAGCGCTGGGGTGGCCATCCAGGGCCACATCCACTCGGGCAAGGTGACTGAGGAGAACGCGTTGCTCTCATCACACCTGGCCACCTGCAGCTCCATCCCTGGCGCTCGCATCATAGTCAGCGCCCCTCCTCCTCCCAGTCCGTAGTCTGCCCGACGCCGAACGCCACTCCACAAGAAATTTCTTCAAAACAGCTGACACCCCGTTGATTGTCTTGGCCTCGCTCCTCCTCACGGAAGTCCATGGGTCCCCAGGGATGTCTCCCCGGTGAAGATACTCAAATCCACTGCTCCATTCGGCCTCCAAAGAAGCCGAAGTGCCTCTCCAGCTCTTCCACCTGCACCATGGACTTGCCCGCGAGATCGATCACGTTCTCCTCCCGGCTGTAGTACTCCGCTTCCTCCGGCGGCAGCGCCTCCAAGAGTGGGACCTCCTTGATCGTCGTCACCTCGTCCACTCGACTCGCCACGAAGTCCGAGTGCACGTCCCAACTTCAAGAGCCCGCATGTGGCCTGTACGCCTGTCGCTGGGAACAGCCGGCGAACATAGAGCTGGTCCTTGGCCCTCGCCACCACTGCTTCGTTGGCAGCAAGAGCGGCGGCAACTTCAGAGACCGGGGGGAACGTCGAAGGAGCTCCTACCTCCGTCTCGTCACTGTGACCCTCACACTTGGCTACCCATCTTTCTCCGTGAGACTTCCTCCTCTGCCGCTGCTCAGGCCGAGCGTCAGGCTGCTCTCCCCTTCGCGGCTCCAAGGGGAGAGCAGGAGGCAAGCGTCAGCTCCCCTCCCTCTTCTTGCCGCCGTCGCCTCGCCCGCCGCCCTTGTGCCCCCCCTTGGAGTCGCCCTTCGGGCCGCGACGCCGAAGTTCTGCTGCTACTCGCTCGGACCTCTGGTGCTCCAGCTTGCTGTGGGTGGTCGCTTCACTGATCAGCCACGCGGGGGCGATGTCCACCCCGCTGCCCGGGGCCATGACAGCCCTGAGCTTCGCAGCCCCCACCTTGTCGTGAGTCCGAGCTTCGCACGCATACGCCGACAAGTGGCGCAGCCCGATCTCCACGTTGTCACTGCTCTTGAGGGTGGCCATCAGCTCGGCGTCCGTACTGCATTTCCCCAGCTCGAAATCCAGAGTGGCAGCTGTGGCCCACAAGGCCTGCCACTGCTCTCCACCTCGATATCCCTGATACTGTTGCTGAAGCCACTGCCTCACACTCGTGCTCCAGGCGGCCCTGATGTTCTGGTAGATCTCGATCCCCGCCCGCTCGAAGTCAGGCGGTAGCGTGTGGGCCCAGGCATCCACCTTTTGTCCGCCTAAGGCCGCAGGGCCGCCGAAGGAGCCCGAGAATACAGCACTCTCCGCGTTGATGTAGCCATCCAGCATCGTCCGCAGCGCGTCGACGTCTGGGGGTGCCTTCGTCTCGCCACCGATGCAGCCCCTGGCGACCAGGGAGCTTCGCATAGCTGGGTCGAGCATCCCGCCAGCGTCCATCTGGGCAACCCCCTGTCAGAAATGGACAGCCCACCACGGAATCATGGACGCGCTGCCACTCATCTTTGGCACTCCTTGGCTAGGGCCTGACGCGACGGGAGCAGCAGGCGCCATCGTGGGCCCAGCCGCCGTAGGACCCGCCGCCCCGCCGGGGCTCCCGTCCAAGACGGGGCCCGCTGCCCGCCGCCCCCGAGCCAATCGCGTGGAAGGCGTCCATGCCCGGGTCGACGATGGGGGCGGGCGGCGCACTCGGCGGGGCAGTTCCTGGTCCCACAGCTGGCGGCTGCAGCGGGGGCGACAGCGGCGGGAGGCGCGGAGCTCCATCTCCACCTCCCGCGGTCGAGCCAGGCCCCCCGGCGCTCATCGCCGCCAGCTGGGCCCGCAGCTCCTCAATCTCATTCTCTCGTCCCATGACCCGGCTCCACCAGTTCGTCACGTAGCGTTACAGGAGCCAAAGTTGGGCCACGAGGAGAGCAGGAGTCCTCCAGCGAGACGTGTCACGTTGCCTCGCCCTGTCTCTGCCCCGAGGGCCGAGAGACCGATCACCACTCCTGCTCCTGTCAGTACTCGTGGCCCTAGCCAGCGTGTAACGCCGTCGGCCAGGGCGTCTCCGTCCCCAAGAGCGGGGACCATGTGTGTGGTTAGAACATCTACTCAGAACATCTACTCTCCTGGGCGGTCACCGCACGCCGTGGCCCCTTAAGCCGTCATCGCTGCGATTGACCCCGAAAAGGCCATGGAGTGACGCAGGCAGCAAGAGCTCATTGGACTGAACACTATACATTAAAACCCCATCGTAAAACTATCACTTCATGTATGTATGTATATATGTATATGTGTATGTATGTTTGTTTGTATGTATGTATGCATATACAAGTATGTATCCACACGTACCTACACATCTCCATATCTGTATACATATACTTCTTAACTGTTAGTATGTGTGGATGCCGTTCTCCAGGCCAGACAATCTTTCCTTATTATATATATATGAAATAATTATATGTAGATGTGTATGTCATGCACATATACAAACAGACACATGTATATACAACTTACACATACATGTTGCCTGTCCTGAATGTATGCATATACACACACATGCAGTGTATGTATGCTTGTGTACATCTACACACATCTGTCTCAAAGTCGCAATGGCGAACCACCGCCGCCCCCCCGCTCGTTTGAAGAAAAACGCCTACGCGGCCAAATTTGGGGACAACGTGTGGCCAAGCTATTGGACCATGTGTTTCCACAGTTGCTGCCCCCGCAGGCGCCGGCCAGATGCCCGCCCGCGCGCCGCCCCCCGCGCCTGACGGTGCGCGGCACCGCCGTTGCCGCCCTGCCGCCTCGACTTCTAGTCTCACAAGCGGGGCGTCTTCCTCAATGTTCACTTCTGCCCCTCCCGCTTGCTCTCCCTCCCTCCGCCCGCCGCCATGGCGCTGACGGGCTGCTCGCAGCCGCCGCGCTGGTCCCTGGGTTTGGTCTTGCCGCCCGCCGCCTGCTCCCCAGCTTCTTGCTGAACACCACGCCCGCTCCCGCCCTGGGGAACGTGCGGCCACCAGACGCTGGCTCCACACTGACAGTTTTGCACCCTTGCCCCACTGGGGTGGTCCCTGCCCCCGCACTGCGCCCCGCCGCCGCCGCCCCCCCCCCCGGTGCAGCAGCCGCCGCGGCCCCGCTGGCGGGGCCGGCCGCGCCACGCGTTCGGGGCGTGACCCGCCCCCCTGAGCGACCTCGCTGCCCTCCCGCCCCTTTTTTTCGGCCGCGTCCTCTGCCCTGTTCCCTCCTCCTACATGGCGGCACAATTCGCTACAACAGCACCCCCGTGCAGGTAGCATCGCCAGCGCAGTTACGCTGCCTAGTCGCCGAAGCAAAAAAACGTTTCCACAGCCGTTGTGGAACTCCTCAAGGAAAACTTGGAGAGAAGAAGAAGACGAAGAAAGGGAGAAGAAGGCGGAAGAGCATGCCTATTTGGAGCCTCTTGACTTGGGGTTTTCGTGAACGCTGTACGACCGCCGTGGAGATCTCTTGGGGTGTTTTGGAGGCCGTTTGGGGGCCCTCTTGGCCCATCCTGTGGCCTCCTTCGGAGCTTCTTGGGGCGATTTTAGACGCCTCTAGGCCCGTATGAGGCAGCCAGAAGTGCGAAAAGTCGAGAACCCAAGATCGCTCAAACACCTCAGGGACACTAGTGTTATTTGCCTTTTCGGGACTCTCCTGGAGGTTCTCCTGGAGGGCCCGTGGGGCGTCTTTGCGGCTTGTCAGGCCGTCTTGAGGCGGTTATTGGGCCGTCTTGGGCCATCTTGGGGCCATGTTCGGGCCTCTTGAGGCCATCTCGGCCGTTTTGGGAGCTTGAAGGCCATCGTGGCATCAGGCCATCTTGACCATCCCAGCGATCTTGGGTGGGACAACCGATGGGGGATACCCCGCACGGGCGACTGGCGGGATCAGCCGAGACCCCATTGGGAGCTTTTGAGAAGAACAAAACAGATTTCGAAAGGCAGGGAATATTGACATCCGGCCCATCCCGCCACCATGCCTGAATTAGTGGCCAGACTCCTCTTGGAGCCGGTCTGACACTAGAGGGCTCCAGGGTCAGTCCGGGTTCACCCCACCAGGGCCGAAAGCCAAAGAAAAAACACTGACTCACGAAGGTGAAGAAAAGTTCGTACTGCTGGCCCCATGTGCCTGTCTTTATGTTTCCTTCCCCTCCTCCCCCCTTTTGTGTCGTCTGCTGCAGATTCGGGATCAGGGGGACCGCTTGTCCACTCGACGCGGCACCGACTGCACCTTGCAAGCCGATCGCTTGCGCGGCGCAGTGCAAAACTGGAAGGAATGGGGGGAGAGCGGGCTCACACCAGGTTGTTCGATGATGGATTGGCTTCCTGGGGAAGTCACGCGGGCCTCTGGGGCGCGGGCTTTTTCAAGAGAGCATTCACGGACAACTCGAAAGGATTAGCAGACATTACATTTGGTGTGTACGGCACGGCGGTATATATGTGTGCACACATAATTTGTAATGTATGTGATTGGATGTGATTATATGGTTTTAGTTTCTGCTTGTAGTTACAGCTACACACACTCGTAAACCCACATATGTGCACACGTAATGTCGCAAGAAGCCTGGTAATTGCACAGTCGGTGTCCGTGTTTTTCCGAATTCGCATCTACGACTCACTCGACCCCACCATTGCTGCACCGCCTCGCTGAAGAAGCTGACTTCCCCGTCAGGACGCGAGGAGGAAATTGATCATGGGCTTCTCCTTCGTTGTCGTTGTATGGGCTCGCGTAGCCGGGGAGTTTATACAAGCCATGCGCAGTGGCCCGTGCTTGCACACGCACAAGTTCGTCCACAGTGCCAATGTGTTGTTGAATTCGTATACATGACTACAGAGCATAGCTTCCATAAGGCATCGCATGTTTTGTTCCGGTTAAAGTTTGTCAACCGGAGACTAAGTGCTAGTTGCTAGCACCAGAGCCCATGGGACAGACCTTTTGCCACCGCGAACCACCACGAGAGAACCCCCTGGCCATATCAAACCACCCGGAGGCGGAAAATGTTCTGCGAAGTTGTCCCCTGCTACGGCTGGTTATCGCTTCTCGCCCCTTCACGCAGCTTCGCTTCGCACGCACGACACACATAGCGGACCGAAACCAAAGACGATTTCCTGGTTGGGCCCAGTCTGCTAACGCACCCTAAATTGCGATCTGGGTGTATGCGGCAGATTTCGCTGGAGCGCCAGCGAAGCATGGAAAGTCGAAATGTGTGTGTGTGTGTGCAGGTTGCTTCTGCCTGTCCCATCATGGGACCGACTCTGAAGCATCGCGACGATGTTGTAGTGTGGCGCGGCAGTAGCGTTGCGTGGTTGTTGCATTGCTTATTAGGGGATCTCTTGGAGGTTTCTTCGGGGCCTATTGAGGCGTTCTCGGGGCCCTCCCAGCGACTTTTGGCACTTCGGGGCATTCTAAGCCATCCGAGAAGCGTCTTTTGGACCCCTTTGGAGGGGTCTTAAGGCATTTCTTGGGCGATACTGGGCCTTCCCAGGGGCCAACTTAGAGCCGTGTGAAGGCGCCTCAGGCCCATCATACATGAAAGGACGAGAAAAGGCGAAATCTGGACAAGACGAGAAAATTGTGCTGCGATTCGGGCTTTGAGGGGAGGGGAAGTCGCCGTCGGGGTGGCGCCACCACTGCGGAAGACAGTTCCTGCCCCCCTCTAGCCATGAGTTCCTCCTCGACGCGGCCCCGGCGGACTTGAAGGCGAGGCATGGTGTGAATCAGGAGGGGAAACATCACACAGACACAAGTAATCATCGACTCCCAGGAAAATATTTGAAAATCTAGGAAGTGGGGGGGTAGACGAAAACCCAGAAAATATGGGAAAAGATTGGGAATCCTGGGATTTGCGTCTATCCATCTGTGTGTCCCTGGGCCCCTTTAGTGAAGAGCTCCACCCTCTGCCGCCAGCCGTCCATGCTGACCCATCACGGGACCGCCTCGGGGCAGTCCTGGGGCTCTGCTGGGCCGTCCCGGAGCCTCTTCGGGGTCAGCTGGAAATTCATGGGGGGGCACATCGAAGATCAAAGCATTGCGTAAGCATAGTTTCCCGAAGAACGAACACTGCATGAACAATACATTTGGAGCAGCAGCATATCGCCTTTGCTATGGAAGTGATTGCTGCCGACAGAGCAGTGCAAGCGGCCACTGATTCGGGAAAGCAAATCACCAGCCCCGGACGCAAACGGACGCGCGCGAGCGGACCAGGATGATGTACCAACGTTGATTCTATAGGTTTCGGCCACATCCGCCGAACCCTGTATAAACTATTGCACCTCCATGACTGCACTCCTCGTGGCGAGGATTCTCCTGGGCCTCTTCGAGGCAGTTTCGAAGGGTCTTGGGGGCCGTTGTGGGGCGTCTTTGGGGCCTCTTGGGGGCTCCTTGGGGCCTTTTGGGTGCCTCATGTGGACCTCCTGGGGTCGCTTGGGGGCCTCTTGGGTCCTCTGGAGAGCTTCGTTGGGCGGAGCGCTGGAATTCGCAGTTCGTGGTCTTTCTCTTGGGCCTTTCTTGGGGCCGTCTTGAAGCTCTCTTGGGCCGTTTTGGGTGCCTCTTGGGCCACGTTGGAGTTTTTGGGTGTTATCTTTGGGGCCTCCTGGGATCCTCGTGGGCCGTCTTGGGGTGGTCCTTGGGGCCTCGTGGGGGCCTCGTGGACGGCTTTCAACGCCGTGAAGGCTAACAAGTTGGATATGCTGAGAATGAACGTTTTCCCAAGCGAATTTCAAGATTTGGGTTTCTTCGGGGCTTCTTGGGAGGCCTCTTGGACGCTTCATGGGGTGTCTTGGCGGCCTCTTGGGCCGTGTTGAACTCATCTTGGGCGTCTTGGAAGGACGACTTGGGGTTCTCGTGGACCGTCTTGGCGGCCTCTTGGGAGGCGTCCAGTGATGTCGTGCAGCTCAAGAGCGAGCCTTGGGAGCCCAGACCGCGCTTGGTGAGTACGGTCCGGGGCCGTCCCAGGCCAGGGGGGGAGAGTGTCAAAATCCCGGTTTGGGGTCTTCGGGGGGGGATTGTGGGGGGGGGAACAATCTCACACGCCTGGAGACCCACAAGGGGTCGGCGGATTTGTGAACATATCGTAATTCGAACAGGGGAGTTCAAGTGGAAAAAACATCGTAGTTTCTCGAGGCTCCGCACTGTCAGGAGGGGGGTCCAGCGCCGATCCACGAAATCCGCGCGGACCTCCGAGAAATTATGTGAATGCCGCTTGTTGCTCTTTCAACCAATGGGTCATATCCTCCGAGGAGGAGATGATACCAACATTGCTACCCGCCCCTCGTTACCACGGCTGGATTGGCCTCGAAATCCGAGTCAGAATGCGCCCCGGGAGAGTTCCACGGAGTGGCAGTATCCGTATTTTCTGATTCCCCATATCAGGCGATGTTTGCGCCCACGTTGGAGTTGTCTTGGGACCTTTGGGGGGCGTCTTGAAGCTATGTTGCAACATTGTGGGAAGGCGAGCAGAGGACGTGTAGCTTTACAGGTTTACACGATGCTTTGCCTTTTCGGAGCGTCTTGGGGCTCTCTTGGTAGATAGTTGGGGCCATCTTGAGTCGACCTTGAGGCAATTCGTGGACCGTCTTGGGCTCTTGGGGCTCCGCTCGGGCCCTCCTGGAGGCACCCTTGACCCTCTTGGCCGCCTGACGCGATGAGACTCTTGGGGCAACCTGGCGAAGCCAAGGAGGCTAAGGGTCTCACCCCCCTCCCAGCTAGGGGTCGACCTAAACGATGTTCTGGCGATCTCGTGGGCCGTTTTCGTTTCGAATTCGTTTTGCAGCAAAGGCGGATTGAAGACACAACGAGGAAAAGCGGAAACAAAACGAAAACACAAAACGCTGTTTAGGGAGATCCCCGCAGTCACGGTTCGACGGAGATTGTGCCCTGAGATCTCGTGTAGAGGAATCTCTAGCAGTAGACACGAGACGGAAAGCAGAAGTTGGGGCCAGAGGCGCCAGCAAGGCAGGAGTCAGGCAAGGGCGGTGCACCGTCTCGCATCGTCTCGTTCTCCCCATTCTTCTGTCCCTCGCTTGTGGGCCTCCGCTGTGATGCCGCTCCTCTCCCTGAGGTTTTTGGCAACGGCAGGGGGGAGGTTCGAGGTTCGAGGGCTTCAGACGTTTTGGTCAGTTCCTGGCGGCTCTCCCGCCTCGAGATACCTTCCAGCAGCTGCGCCTCGCCGAGAGCGTTCCCGTGGTGCCCGCATCGCCCCGAAGGGCCGCCGGAGAGCAGAGCTGTGACCCGCGAAGAAGATTGGCTATGCGCCCTTCGTCCTCAATTCGTGCACCTTCGCCTGCGCGATGGATGAGAGCCCTGAACTCGTCAGAGGATCGCTTCTGGCGCGTCTTGGGAGAGACGCGTGGGAACGTGCGCACATGCGTCTGCAGCCCCGAATGCCTCCCCACACGGTTTCTCACGCTGCACCACCACCTTACCACTTCATGGTCTCTCGCCTGGCCTCGCCCAATTCGCCCCCAAGGTGGCAGGCAACTTGTGGAACCGCCAGGAGGAATTCCTGCAGGAGTTGTTCGACTTGGACCCAAGCGAGAACCAAGACCAGGCCAGCGCGCGGCCGCTGCAGAAGTGCAGGTCGGCGGTCATCGAGCAGCGTGTGTGAGAGGGCGGGATTTTCGGCCACTCTGTCGTCGCGACGCCGGGGAGAGCTACGCCCTGGGGTCAAGGGAGGTCTCACGGCCTCGGAGACTCGGCAGCGTGCCAGAAAGGTGCTGGTCTCGCCAGATGCGCTGCTGCCCTCGAACGGCGAATGTTGCAGAGCGTGCTCTGAACCCTGGACCGCTCGCCCCTCGGCCCCCCGCCGGCCCCACGCCAAAGGTCGAGCACATGAACGGGCGCAGCACCGCGCTGCGTGCGCAGCCTTCGGCTGGGCCAGGGCAGGGCAAGACCCAACACTGCATCGCGGGGCGCGTGGATGCCCGCACCGGAGGCCGGCGGTCGCGTGCCGTGCAGCACCGTCGTGCTGCGTCACGCTTCGTGACTTCACGAGGGCGCGTGCCGCGCCGTCGCGCCGTACCGTGGCGTGTGTCTCGTAGACCTGGGCCTCACAACAGCAACAACAGCAACAATAAAAACAACAGCAACAACAACAACCACAACAGCAGCAGCGATAAAAACAGCAAAATCGCGACGACTGGTGTTTCCAGTGTTTCTGCATCTGGAGGCCGTTTCCCGGCTGCGGGACCGTCAAAAAAGATTGAGCACGGAAACAATGCCCTGTAGAAGAAGCCGAGATCCCCAGGGGTTGACGTCGCGAAAAATGCCAGCGTCGGGGGAGAGGGTTCATGGTTCGTTGGGCTTGCGCCACTCCCGCCAGGACCCTTGTGTGTTGTAGGCTGCAGTTGGCGTCTGCAGGCGCTGGGCAAGAGGGAACGGAAAAGAGGGAGGGATAGCTAGAAAGGAAAGGGGAGACGCAGACGAGTGCTGTTGGCGTGCAGCTTGTACCGCTTGTACGATGTGTAAGTAGTGTTGATCCGATGCTGTATAGCGTATTGCTTGGATGTTGTATGACTATTGTATATGATGCTGCCTGCATGGTGTCCGTCCGCTGTTGCCTACGTGCTGTATTGGTACTGTTTGGGATGCCATTTGAATGGCGCCTAGGGTGTTGCATGCCTGGTGGCCGCATGCCGTCTGGCTGCCGTGCTAGTATTGTCTGACGTATTATTAGCTACCGCGTGAGTGGTGTCAGGGTTATGTATGTGTTGTTGTCTGCGTGTAGTTTGCGAATGTCCGTAACCCGGTATGCCTCGACCCCTTCTGCACTGGGCATTTAGTTTGGACTTGCACCCGCTCAAGAACTTAATCGTGCGGCCACGGCACGGACTTCCTCTACATGGTCTTTGGCTCCGTTTATCGAGTCGCGATTGTGACGCTTGTGCCATTTCATCGGTCTCGCCGCCAGTGTCTGCTGCGTTGCCCGGCACCCAGCACTTCTTTAAGGTTTTGAATTTCAAACTGGCCCAGGCATCTGTTGCTTGTTCGCAGTTCGCATGCGTTGTCCTTCGGCATCCCCGCGCCGACTTACATGGTCTGAGCGAGTTCTTTCTGTCTCTTCTCGCGCTATTTTCCTTCTCGCCTTCGTGCCTCAAGTCGCCCCTGGTGCACCCCACCGCTTCCTAACTGGCGCCTGACTGTCCTGGACCACCTTGGCGCCCGCGGACTGAAAAAGCGTATCGTTTGCAGGGTGTGCGTGGTGTGTGTGCGGTCTGGGATGTTGTCGCATATGTATGTGTGTATTCCTATTTTTCCAGGGGGACGCCCCTCGTCCCGCTCTTCGGGCTCCCCCGTGCGCAGTTCGCTTCGCCTTGGCCCCGCGTTTGCTACGAGTGACCCGCGCGTTCGCCGAGTCGGAGACAAATTGTTCACGTGTGCATGTGTACGTGGGGCACGATACATCGTCGTGTGTATGTGCGGCGCCGCTGATGTGCATGACTTGTCCCGGAATTCTGACCGGGCGGCGCTGGTTGTGGTGGTGGAGTTACGGGTGGTTGAGAAGCACCATATCGTGCAATTGACCGTGGGGTTCGTCCTTTGTAACGGTGCAGTTTCATTGTGATATTGTTTCACCCCTCGCGCTCACAGGGGAACAGTCCCACTGCCAATGTGCGTCACATTGCTAACAAAGGGGACGTAATGTCAAAATTGCGTGTCGAGGGGACGTTGACAATGTCAAGTGCGGTCGTCCTGCCCTGAGTATGACTGTTTTACCGATGGCAGCGCTTGCCAAGATTGCACTGGCTCGGCCTGCCGAGGCCCAGCCGTCCTCGCCGTGGTTGCGCGGCGGGGTCCGCGATTCGCGGTGGGTTCGGTGGTGGCCTGCGCAGTGGTTGCGCAGCGCACGGTAGGTTGCGCGATACGTCATAGGGTGGGGCCGTCCGTTGCGCGGTGGGTCGCGCAGTGGGTTGCGCGTCGGGTCGCGCGCAGGGCTGCACACATGGAGCTCCACGCGCACACACACACACACACACACACACACCTATACACACACACACACACACACACACACACGCGCACACACACACACACACACACGCACGCACACACGCACGCACGCACGCACACACACACACACACACACACACACACACACACACACACACACACACACACACGCACGCACGCACGCACGCACACACGCACGCACGCACGCACGCACACACACACACACACACACACACACACACACACACACACACACACACACACACACTTTTTGCGTTGACGGCGAGGCAGGGGTCGTCTGCGCTAGCGGAACACCGTAAACGGGGCTGCCGTTAGAGCGAATTGTGCCACCACGCAGGAGGGGGAAAAAGCGGAGGACGCGGCCGAAAAAGAGGGCGGAAGGAGTGAGCCGCTCAGGGGGACGGGTCACGCCCCGAGCGCGTAGCGCGGCCAGCCCCGCCGGCGGGCCCGCGGCGGCTGCTGCACCAGGGGGCCGGCAGCGGCGGGGCGCACTGCGAGGGAGGGAACATCCCAGGTGCAGGGGTGCAAAACGAACAGTATAGAAACTTGACGGCAGCCTTTCCCCAGGGCGGGAACGGGCGTGGTACCAGCCGAAATTGGGGCGCCAACGGCGGGCGGCAAGACCAAGCCTGGGGCCAGCGCGGGTGGCGGCTGCGGGCAGCCTGGGGCAGCGGTTGCGAGCAGCCGAGCAGCGCAATGGCGGCGCGAGAGGGAGGGAGAGCGAACAGGGGGGAAAAAACAAACAGGGAGGACACACACACACACACACACACACTTTTTGGGGGGGGGGTCTGCGGGTCGAGAGCGAGCCTCTTCCGGTTAAGAGCTAGGCGGGCCGCGCAAAGCACGAATTGGGGAGACAGGGCGCGGCCGGGCGGGGCCTCAGGCGGCCGGAGAGCGCGGGGTGCAGGCGGTGCTGAAGAGCTTGCACAGGAAAGGGTACACCTTGGACAGGAGCCGGAGGCGAAGTCCCAGAGGGTGAGCGGTGTGGTGTTACCGTCGACGGCGCATCAAAATCACCAACCTCAAGTGCTGCGTGCGGAAGGACGTGACCAGGTCGACGTCCGGGGGGTAGAAGTCCACCATGTAGGCGATGAGCAACTTGTGCCACCAAATGGTGAGGAGAGGCCCAGGAGATGAGGAGGACCACGAAGACGATGTGCAGCGTTGTGCCACTGGGTGGTCGGTAGCGGCCTGGGGTGGTAGTCCAATCCACGTCCGGGGAGCAGCCAAGAGGTGCGGCCAGAAGCAGGGCCGTCTGTGCCCGACTGGATGTCGGTGGCGTGCAGGGAGGAAGCCTGACCTGACGAGGTCCCACCGCAGGTAAAAGGGCGTGCCACGCAAGTCGCCGGTGCACCAATGCGTCGCAGATGGGTACAGGTGGGACACAAAGTCCCAGATCCCTGAATCTCCTTCATCCGATGGGCACAGGTGGGACACAGAGTCCCAGATCCGTGAATACGGGAGAGAGCGAGGGGAGGGAAAGGGAAGGACGGAGTCCAGGTGGAAGGGTGGGTAGCCAGCTCGCGGAGCGCGGTCGCCACAGGGGCAATGGGGTGCAGGTAATGGGGAAGACACACGGTCTCCAGCCAGGTGACAGGTTGGGGTGTGGGTCGGGGTCGGGGGCGCAGGTAGTGGGAGCGATTGGCTGGTTGTGCTGTGGTGCCGTGGGGCAAAAGGTGGTCGGGTCGACGACTGTCAGCGCCGCGGGCGCTTTCCAGTCCAGGCGTCGCGGTACCCGGAGCTGCGCGCCTGGTCCCCGTCGCGCCCGTCACCCTTAGCGACCTTTTCCTCTGCACGTCCCGGTAGAGCTTCTGCTCCCGCTCCCAGTCCACGTAGACGCCTGCGCTGCTGGACCACCGCTCCACGTGGTAGTTGTTGGTGCTCATGTCACCCAGGAATTTGTCGACGATCCACTGTTGCCAGCGGCCCGTGTCGAAAGGCGCCTGGTCTTTGGATTTGCCCTTTCCTTGCTCCTTGCACATGTGCCTGCACCACGAATGCCAGGCTGCGTTGAAGTGGTATCCCCCTTCTGCTTGCAGCCTCTTCAGGTGTGTTACCGCTGTCTCGTTTGGGAGGCGCTGCCATCCAACGCGGAAGGTGGTTCGCGTCCGGCTGGTGCCGGTGTGGCTGCGATCGTCCTTGTAGTAAGAGTTGCGCGATTCTGGCTGGCGCCAGGGTGCGCTACCTGCGCCCCTGCCAGTGTCGTGGCTCTGGTCCCAGTAGCGCTGCTTAGTTCTGTCCCAGTCCTTGGCGTCGTGTCTGCGCCCAGATGCCCCCGTCGCGCCCTGGTTGCGGTCGCGGTCGCGGTCGCGGTCTCGCTCTCCTGCGCGGGCCCGGTCGTCCTCTCTGGACTCGCGCCCCACCGCTGCCGCGCACGAATCCCAGGCGACTGGCTCCCGCACCCTGCCGCGCGAGCGCTCTAGGACGTGCTCAGGGAGAGGGGCGAGTGCAGGTCGTGGGTCTTCCGGGCCCTCGGAGCGGCTCCGCGCGCGCAGGTTCCGGTCGTCGGCCGCGGCCTCTAGGCGCAAGATTGGCTCAGCGGGTGCGCGGGCAGCCCTCTGGTCGGCACTGCGCGGG